ACTGATCTGATGTGAAGACCAAGGATCTATGTATCTCTTACATCTGGAGGAGATGAGAGCTTAGCAGAATGTGGATGTGCCATGTCCAATGGTAGCCTCTCACAAGACCATTGCTGACCTCCTCTTGCTCTCCCTACCACAGCTAGAAGACCATCATAACCAAGGTTCTCCTATTAGCATCCTTACATGTGCTTTCCCTGCCCCCCACTACCCAGACATCTCATTTTAATCTCTGGGCATTCCTTTGTGTGAGTTAAAAATGCCATCATAAAGGTCTGTTGCTTTACATATCATGTAGGTCTTTAAATCCCAAAGCTGCTGTGATGGACAAAGGGAGATGGCAAATATTGAAAACATATGTGTGTGATGCTGATCACAATCTTTTTTTATATTTTCTTTTGTAGCTATTCTTTAAAAAGCTCACACTGTCAGGGATATCACTGTGAATATCAATTTGGACCTCCTGAACTGAAAAAAAAAACCCAGGATTTTTTGCATATCATTTGAGACAATAATATCAGGCTATTTATGTAATAGCTCACTTTCATCTAGCTCTTTAGGATTTACAAAACATTAGTGCTCAAAAAAACCCTATGAAGTATGTAGTACAGAAGACCACACATCATACATAAATAAATATATATGTATGTATTATTGGAATGTAATCAAGTGCAGTTTAAAGTAGTTCAGCAGCTAGGTGTCTCTGCATGCCAGGCTTTGTGGAATTGAGTTCAAGTTCCATTTGAGGGCATTATATTCAACTCCTGAAGTGCCTGTTCAAAGAAATGCTGCATGATGTTAGAGAAAACCAAAAGAGGAGGAAATAGGAAGTAGATTTCCAAGTTGTTCCAAATATTCTCTACTTTAAAATCAAATTGCTCTAGATTCTCTTCCATAGAGGGGTGAGTGGGTCAATGGATCAATCAATTATCACTACTCAAATTAAACTAACAAGATGCTATGGCCTGATTATTGTTGTTGTTTGTCCTTTGTTTTTGAAGAGGGCCAATGACATCACAAGGTGATGTCTCGACTCACGGGCGAATTGGATTTAAGTGAAGCAGAGCACAAAGTTGTCAGCCTCACTCTCTCCTCCAGGGTCTTCAAAGTCCAGTGGTAAGACAGAAGTCAACAGGACTGTCCATGGCTCTGGATGAAGTGGATGACATTGGCATCTTTGATGTTTGACCAATGTCTAAGTGCTCCATAGCACCTGCTTCTGCTCCTTTCATGGCTGTTGGAACAAATTGCTCACACTTGCCCCTTCCATTGAGGGAGGTCTTCACATGCTTGAAGTAGACACCCCCTTAACTCACCAACATGTCTGAGGCCTGTTGGTTACCCTCAACCTGGGTTAGTCTATCTGCTGAGATAGGTTACTGGGCTACTTCATGTGAAACAGCTTCTTGGAGCCACAAGTGAGAGTTGAATACCAAGTGGACACCAAAAGTGGATGAGCAGGCCTGAAAAGGGCTCAGCAAGCCCTCATACCAGAGGTGCTAGTCCTCCTTGAATACCGCATATACCTCTGATACTTTATAAGAACACCTCCGATGACTTAATCAATCCAGGGAATTAGAATAGATATGAGAATTTCTAATCATTTTGGAAAGAATGAAAGTCATTGGAATGAAATGGCACGCATATGAGTATCTAGACTGGCTAAAGAGACTTGGTTGTATTCTATATGTCTTGTAAAAAATGATAAACCTGTTGAAAAGTGGCATTCTCTTGTCTGGCCAGCCAAGAGGATAAGGTAATCCAGCCAAGACTCTGAAAGGGAATCACTTAGAGAAGAGAACTTTTGTCTACTCTTTCCCATTTCTTGACCAGAGGGTGACCTTGTGAACTTCAAAATGTCAGAAGATTTTGGACTTCTCATTGCATCTAAGCACTCTGGCACTGATGGTTGTGTATGCATTAGACACTGAAGATAAACTAAGTCCCTTAGGGAAAGGTGGCTTCAGGATTCTATGAAACACCTAGGGAAACGCTGCACTATATCTAAGGGAAACTTCATGAAGCTCCTACAAAGGGGAGAAAAAGACTTCCAGGGGCTACATTACCCTCTTTTGTCACATCATAGGCCTTAACTTCAAGCACTTTCCACTGGACTCACTGCATACATACGGGAGAGTATGTCCCCAGTTTGGAGGTATGCTTTATATCAATTGTTCTTGCCAAACAACTTTAGTAAATACTCATTTCTAAAACCTAAGACTGGGTGAATGTGTTACCAATTGATATCAACGGGAGAAACACACTAGCAGAAGCTCATGAGCTTTAATATTAAAAACTACACCACCTTCCCCAAAGTCCTCTAGAATTCTGAGAGAAGTACCAACCTCCCAGGGTCAATGAAAATGAGAAGAGTAGGACTCAAGCCTATAATACAGAAGAATAGAGCTATAAATTTAAAATACAGAAAATAGGGAAGATAGAATAATTCTCTAAAACTTAAGTATATGGTCACTATGCTAATGGAATATGACAAAATATTTTTTGGTTTAAAAATTTTTTTATCTCCATCACAGCTTCTATCAATGACAGCTGCCTAAATATTTCGAAAACAGACTACAACTACGGAAAATTGTTCTTAAGGATGTGATTTAAAATGCTTTTCTTGTTTTAAGATATCAAATAAAAATCCAGTTTTTTATTCTAGGTTACTTTGTGGGAAAACTTTCTCCTGAAAATTTCTGCTATGATTCGGACTCCGTGGAACATCAAGGCCAACCTAGGATGAAATCTCATCATCATGCTGTTTGACTCAGTTTTCTGATACTCAACACCTTCTCAAATTCCTCTGGCTTCTCCCCTCTGATTGGAGTGCTGGAAGGTGGAGCGGTCAACTCTTCCCAAAACAGGACTGGGATCTGAACTTTCCAAGGAATTCTCCACTTTCCATCAGCAGCTCTCTTAGATTTTGACATCATGACCTGTCCTTCCTTTCTTTTCAGTTTCCTTGTGTATATAGTCTTTCCCCCATTAGATTATAAGCTCCTTAAAGACAGGGACTGCCTTTCTTTTTCTTATTTGTATCTCCAGCGCTAAGCAGTATGCCTGGCACATAGTAGGCACTTAATAAATGTTTATTGGATTGAACTACAAAGTTTCTTTTTTTCTTAAAATCTGACCATAAACATCAAGTAAAATGAACATTTCCACATACATAGTAGGACATAAGAGTGTTGTATATGAAACTGCAAATATCTAATATGTTCAATGTAGATTTTCTCAGGATTAAAAAAAAATGACCATAAGTCTTTATGTATATAGTATGCATATGTATCTTGTAAATAAGTAACCCAATAACATCACACATTAGGACATTCAGCTGTATAAAACATTAAAATACAGTTTAATAAGTGAAATGATAGCACCTTTGATCACCAACTTGTTTTAAAAGAGATTTGGCAAACAAAAAAAAGCTCCTGAAATACCAACATCCCTACTACATTAAAGAATTTTGAAAGACGGTCTATAAAATGAAACAAATAATTTCGAAAAATAAGATTACATCTATTGACTGTAAATGTAAACAATATGGTATGTTGAAAGCCAAACTTTAGTCTATGACTCTAGGGGTTCCCCCCCAAATCATATGATAATCTCTCTAAAGTAGGTTAAACAGTTGCCCAAAATCACTTTATTATGAGAAGGAATCAATGTCAACCCAAAACTTAGAAGGGTCATCTTAAAAATTAAAATAAATTTTTAAAAATGTAATAGACATGTAAATTACAGCTATTGACACAGAGAAGAATTTGGGATAAGATGGGAAAGGTCTTTCTTAAAGAGGGTTTAGTTATATATGTAAAGGACCTTGTTATAAAGTGCTTTTTTCTTTAAAAGAGCAACTATGATATAGACACTGATAATAGAATTATAACAAGGTTTTATTCTGGAAGTATGTACTTAGTTTTACTTTTGCTAACTCCTTTAATTCCTGAGAAATAGGAGAAAAAAATATTGGAGAAGTAAAAAGTACTAAGCTAACTTTGGGGGTAAGGGTGGGTATCCAAATAAACTTAAATTTTTTTTCAGAAATGGATATCAGCAGCTTGAACATATTATTAAAGACCACATATACCTAAAGCCAGAATTAGGGGTAGAATAGGCTAGGTACAGGGTGGGCAGCAGCCTGGCAATGCAAGGTGAGTGGGGGCAAAGGGAGACACTTATCAATATGAATATTGTATTTAAAACACACTTTTTTTTTTAATTCCAGAGAGTTTCACAGGCATTTCTATTGTGATCCTTCAAGTCACATGAGTTAAAGCCAAGGCCTAAAGTCTCCAGTGGACAGAAACATCCAGTGGGCACCATTTTCAAATTCAAGGGGACCAAAGTGTCAAACCTTGCCTAGGGCACACAAATGCCTGGCCCTGCCCTTATATGAAACCCCTCACTTAAGCAGGACCACTTGTCATTTTTGTTAACCTCATAATTTTAAGGACAGAGTCCTCCTCACAGCCAGGAAGCTCTGGATTCATCAGTTAACTTCTCAGTGCCCAGGCAACTCTCTAAGACTAAAAGTGTCAAAATAGTTGCAACGCAAATCTTCATTGGTAATGGTAATTGGTAATTGGTAATCTTCATCCAGGAGTTCCCTAGACCCACAAAAAAGTTCTATTATAGAAAACTCTATATGCCCCTCCTGCACCACCACAGATCATATACTTTATTTCATAGCTGGACAAATTAAGTTAGAGGAATATCAATATATTATTAAAGAAATTATGATCTTGGATTTACTTGAGTTGACAAATGTCACTTGAATGGCACTCATTCCCACTCCTATAATATTAAGTCACTAAACTAATTTATTAACATTGATTTTAAAAGATTGTGTTTTTTCAAGGAAAACACTTTACTAAGATTATTGAAGAATTTTTTTTTAAGTAACGTTCCTATCTAATGCTTATCGCATTAACTCCTAATGAGTCCTGATACCTATTAGATATTTAATAATAAAAATCCATTTAACATTTTATGGTTGATATTTGCATAGAACTTACTGCCTTTAGAAGAACATGGCATAATTTGAGGTAAAAAAAATGGTAAATATGAAGTCTCAAGTTAACATTTAGGAAACAATACAATCCAGGGTATTTCAAGATGTCGTTTATTCTTGTTATTAAACTTGGATGATGATGAGGATCAGAGTTTTTGTAAAATCCTTATTCTGAAAAAGCACCTTCCTCATAGGGATGTTTAATCATCTTTTTCCACAATCACCTCTCCATGAAGCACCTTTCTCCTTTGCCGCAGCATGTGAAAATAGAGTTGTGGGAACACTTGATTGAAAAGAGAAAACAAGGAAAAATCTGATAATGCTGCAAGTTAATGATACTATAATTATGTAAACAACTACTTATTGAAAAGAACCCAGATTGAGGGCAAATAAACCTCTTCGTATACACATATGTGTATATATTTCATGTGTACACAGAATATGTGCATAAGATGTATATTCAGATTTTATATAAAATCACAACTGGCACTAATATAGCATTTTAAGGTTTGCAAAACCTTTTACCAATAGTATTTTATCTTAACTGCACAACAACCCTGGCAGGTACTTGGTATGACTTTTCCCCTTTTACAGATGATAAAACTGAGGCAGACAGAGGTGAATTTATTAAACACTTACTATGTGTCAGATACTGTGCTTAGCACTAGGGATACAAACACAAAGAATATATATGTATACACACGTGCATATACATACATACATGCATGTGTGTGTATATATATATATACACAAACACATATGTAGGTGTTTAAATATTTGTATATATCAGAGCAAAACAGTGAATGTTAATGCACTCGAAGCCAACCTCTTTATTTTACAGATGAGATTTAGTCAATTTGTTCAAAGTGGCACAGTCAGAGCTCAGATTTGAACCCAGGTCCTCTGTTTCCATATTCAGAACTCATTTCACCCCCTTGAAAATGCTTAGCTCACGGGGAACTAAAAGTTTCAAGGTCTTTGGGTACAGGAAAGGTTGATATGTTCTTATGTTGTATGTACATATAATATATGGACTTCTATGTAGGGATCTTTTTTTGTAAATATTAATTTAAGTTTTCAACATTCACTTCCATAAGCTTTTTAGTTTTAAATTTTCTCCCTCTCTGCCTCCCTCCCCAAGATGGCGCACAATCTGATATAAGCTCTACATATACATTCCTATTAAATGTATTTTCACATTAGTCATGTGTAGGGATCTTCATGCATATGATCAATACACATTTGATGCTAAAAGAGCAAGTGTCCCAAGTGCTACTTCATACTAAAGTGTAGTAATATCCTAGTCAAGCTGATGCTCATGCAACCAGAGTTCTTCAGTTACAGGTACCACAGTCACCAAAAAGCTAAGACTTTCCAGAACATCTCCAAAGCTGCCTGCTTGAAGCCTTTAGACAAATAGAACATTTTCAAAAACTCTATGAAATGTTTGGAAAAGTCCCCACTTCTCTCTCTTCATTGACATGTAATCCTCATGAGGATTTCCTTTTCTTGTCTCATTGGAGGTGCCAGGAAAGAACCTGGTACTTTTTGGGTTGGGACGTTTGCCTGGTAGCCTGCCCACTAAGGGGTAGCAACAAATGCTGCTACCTTATTGATGGAGAAAAACCTTTGTTTCAGTTCTTTCTGGTTCTGATATAACTCAACAGGGCCAGGGTATAATTAGAAAAAATGAGGAGGGCAACCCTTTTTAAACACACAATGCAGATTCTGAATCAGCTTTGTTATCTGAAAAGTTTAATATTTTGGAATTCAAAGCAGGCCCATGTTACACTTCCATCTTCTGATGAAACATGGTAAAGGTAGGTGGCACAATGGGTTGAGTACTGGCCTTGGAGTAAGGAAGACCAGAGATGAAATCTTGACACTTATTAGCTGTGTGAGCCAGGTCAAGTTAGATATTGTCTTGATTTTTTTTTTTAAACAAAAGATAATGGAGACTGCAAATTACCAGTTGAAAAGCTTGAGTTTGATTCCTGGCTAAATTCTAAAATTAATTATTAAGGGGATGGTTAATGAACAACTTAAAAGGTAACAGTGATCACAAAAATGTAGAATGGCTTCATCAAGAATAGGCCATACAAGACTAGTTTCATTTTCTCAGTGGGGCCAATCTCGTTATCTCAGTTCTCAATAGGGCCAGTTCTCAATATCACCAAGTTGATACATTAGGAGAGTGTTATTAGACATTGTTTGCCTAGAAAACTATTTTTAAAGCAAACTTAAAGCAAATGTGACAGCTTCTCAGGTTCTTCTTCAGGAAAATAATGGGGAGATGTAGGTCATTTGACAGTGCATTGATGTGGAATGGAAATGGTTAAACATAAATTGCAGTCATTAAAGGTTCAGTGTGAATTTAGAAAGGAGTCTCTAGCGTAATGTCCCAGGGATCTATGCATGGCCCTGTGCTGCTGAACATTTTTATCAATAATGCTTCAATAAATAAAAGTTTCCACAGCATGTTTATCAAGATTTTTTTTTAGAAGTAGAAACAAAGAAGGTTTATTTGATATTAAAGTCAATAAGAATAATCCATATCTAACGAAATACAGTGAACATGGGGGACTTTTCTGGCTCATGTAAGCAACAAGATGGTGGACTAGACATTTTCTTCAATCCTCATAACCTCTCAAACCTCTGCAAAACAGAAATGATAGGCCAAAGATAAAACAACTTCAACAACTGTCTCCATGGTCCAGGACACCCAGAATCCAACAGAAGGTAAAAAAAAAAAAAAAAAAAAATCCACTTTTCAAAACTAAATATAATGAATAAAATATGTGTTCTAAATATTGCCTCCATTTACCCCCATACCTGGCTCACATAAAGCTTGTGTCTGGACTTTAACTAATGTTCTTTTTCAATGTAGAATTGTACAGATAGTTTGTACTTTCAAAGAAATCTCATTTTAGACATGTATCCTATTTTCATATACACACATATATACAACATATATGGGCTTATATAATATAAACTTCAATTCCATATGATAACAAATAAAAGGAGAACTATTTATGCCCCCCATCCAAAAAAAAAAAAGATGGCAGAATAAAAGCAGTGACTTGCTTGAGTTCTCCCCCAAACCCCTCCAAATACCTGTACAAAATGGCTCTAGGGGCAGCTAGGTGGCGCAGTGGATACATCACTGGCCCTGAAGTCAGGAGGACCCGAGTTCAGATCCAGCCTCAGACCAAACACTTGACACTTACTACCTGTGTGACTCTGGGCAAGTCATTTAACCCCAATTGCCTTAAAAAAAAAAAGACTCTAAACAAATTCTAAAGCAGCAGAAACCACAAAAAGACAGAGTGAAACGAATTTCCAGCCCAAGACAACCTGGATGGTTGATTGGAAAGGCCTATTGCGCTAGGCTGGGAAAGGAGCGCAGTTCAGCATGGGCCATGAAGGCTACACAGGCAAAGACCAGGCCTCAGCAAACCTGGAGCAGTCCTCAGGGGGTTGAATCAAGGGTTTCCAGACTTCTCAACCCACAAACACCAAAGACAACTTAAAAGGTCAGTAGGAAAGGTCTGTCTGACTGTGGTGAGAGAGGGGATTCGTCTGGCCCCAGTCCCAGCATAGCACCGGGGTGGTGACTGTTTCTGGAGCTCCCAGTCCACAGACTGAGGGGGAATCTAGCAACTGATCAGAGGGGGATTGTAGGGATATCTTTGCTGGTGCTGTTATCTGTTGCTTTGCTTGTGCTTGGATCTGGGTTGCAGCTCTGGGTGGCAGTATTGGGGTGAGGAGGAGCGCTAGTATGGTGGAGCTTGTGGTGGTGGTGGAGAGGGAATCCTCCTCACAGTTCCCAGGCAGAAAAGAGTGCTTGTGGTCACTCGTAGACCAAAGTCCAGACCAGGAAAGGAGTAAACACTTCACCCTTGATTGTACTACCTTGGAAGAACTGAAAATTTACAGGCACCTAGAAGCACCTCTGAAAACAGCTGCACAAAACCCCTGAAGCTTGGGACAGTACATTCTCCACACAGGAAGCAGACCCCTACCTAAACAAAGGGTTTAAAACTCAAGTAATTGGCTGGGATCATGAGAAAACAATGCAAAAAAAGTCAAGACCACAGAATCTTACTTTGGTGACAAAGAATATCAAAACATACAACCTGAAGAAGATAATGAAGTCAAAGCTCCTATGTCCAAAGCCTCCAAGAAAAATGTGAATTGGTCCCAGGCCATGGAAGAGCTCAAAAAGGATTTTGAGAAGCAAGTAAGAGAAGTAGAGGAAAAACTGGGAAGAGAAATGATAGTGATGCAAGAAAATCATGAAAAACAAGTCAATAGCTTGCTAAAGGAGACTCAAAAAAAAAAAAAAAAAACTGAAGAAAATAATACCTTAAAAAATAGCCTAACCCAAATGGCAAAAGAGATCCAAAAAGTCAATGAAGAAAAGAATGCCTTAAAAAAGCAGAATTGGCCAAATGGAAAAGGAAGTTCAAAAGCTCACTGAAGAAAATACTTCCTTAAAAATTAGAATGGAGCAAACAGAAGCTAATGACTTCATGAGAAATCAAGAAATTGTAAAACAAATCCAAAAGAATGAAATAATAGAAGACAATGTGAAATATCTCACTGGAAAAATAACTGACCTGGAAAATAGATCCAGGATAGATAATTTAAAAATTATTGGACTACCTGAAAGCCATGGTCAAAAAAAAGAGCCTAGACATCATCTTTTGAGAAATTATCAAGGAAAACTGCCCTGATATTCTAGAACCAGAGGGTAAGGTAGAAATGGAAAGAATCTACCAATCACCTCCTGAAAGAGATCCCCAAAGGAAAACTCCTAGCAATATTACAGCCAAATTCCAGAGTTCCCAGGTCAAGGAGAAAATATTGCAAGCAGCTAGAAAGAAATAATTCAAGAACTGTGGAAACACAATCAGGATAACACAAGATTCAGCAGCTTCTACATTAAGGCACTGGAGGGCTTGGAATATAATATTCCGGAGGGCAAAGGAGATAGCATTGCAACCAAGAATCACCTACTCAGCGAAAGACTGTCAAGCATTCTTGATGAAAAGACCAGAGCTGAATAGAAAATTTGACTTTCAAATATAAGACTCAAGAGAAGCATGAAAAGGTAAACAGGAAAGAGAAATCATAAGGGACTTACAAAAGTAGAACTGTTTACATTCCTAGATGGAAAGATAATATTTGTAACGCATGAGACCTTTGTCAGTATTAGGGTAGTTGGAGGGAAAAAATTATATGGATAGATAGATAGATAGATAGATAGATAGATAGATAGAT